GTACGATGTTCATGTTTTTTCCTTCTTCCAAGTGTAATAGATGAAAAATGTAAGAAAAGACGAAACAATTCAATCACACCTGTTATCTGTCATTACCAGACATTTTGCCGTCATTGACCAGCTGTCACTTATTTTCTTAATATAACATGAATCCTACACATCATCCATATCTCATATATAATAATTGAAGCTTAGGTCTGACTCCACTGGACCATAATTTTTCTGATGCTTCTTCTGGTCCCATACTATCACAAGAAGCATCAATTGACGTAAATTTTGGGAAATGATATATTGTTTCTTGGATGTTATTAGACACGTACATTACGAAAAATCATGTCACTCATTTCCGTCGGTCTGTCTGTCTGTCGGTCTGTCCGCTAATCTTATAAACGCCTATAACTTGAGAACTACCGCATGGATGTCGACAAAATTTGTACACAATGTTGTCACTATGGCAAGGAAGCAAAAGTTCTGTAGTTTAAATCGGAATCGGTCCAGTGGTGGCGGCGAAAAAGGGCAAGACAAGCTTCATTTTTTAACGTTTCAGACGATTCTGTTCATTTTCGAAAAAAATCAGCATAGATGTCCCCGTGCATTCACCCTTAAAACCTATCTTCCCCTCTTCAATGGTCGATACACGATCTTTGATGGACTAGCGTCGCCATCGGTGGTCATATGTCTCAGTCAGCAATTGTTAACGCACTGCTATGGATGTGTGCACTGTGCATGACGAAGGCCAATATCGTAATTCACACGGGATTGTTCGTGACAACGATCATGTGCGTATGCCGCAAGAGAGAAGAGGAAGGACATTTGATTTTTTGTTATACATGTTGGCTACATTTTTCTCAGTAGGGATATCTTGTGCCAAACATAATCCTTTACGAACTGATGACACCGTAGTGTGGGAACTACAGAGTCAACCTACTTGATGGCATTTTTTTATTTTTTATTTTGAAAAATATTCACGAATTGGTGGACAGAACTCCTGGGGCAAGTCCATTTTCACGTATATCACCCATTTCACTATTCTTGACAATTCTCTGAGCGTTATCAATTTTACAGTTTATGATGATGACCAAAGAGACCCTTTGGGATATAAGTACAAATAGATAGTTGGCCAGCTGGTAATTATTTAAGTATCCATGTTAGCATGGTCATAACTTTTTTGGTTTTCTTATGGATACAGTAATGTTTAATATTTCCTAACCTGAATGTGTGTCTGCATTTAAAAGTTCATTTCACATACTGGCCTACTCCACCAATGCGTTTAACTGGCGCCTGGCACAAACACTACCGATGGCGTGTCCGTTTATCCTCGTGCGGTTCTCATTTCCCGATAACATTTTGTCTGTCTGCCCTGCCTGGGATAATAAGCCAGCACGCGAACTCATTCCGCAAATCGTTTATCGTGATATTAAAGGCGACATAGGCTCTTTACTTTTTTACCACCTATTATTTCATTTAAAGACACTGAGGCCCTGGGGAACACTGGGGTATTCCACTGTACGAGTATGAATATGCCGACAACTCCTGCGACGTTTTGCTCAACGGCAGTAGTTGATTTCTACACGTCCCCTTCATACAGGCGTCTCAGGTAATAAGTAAAATATATGCCTGATTTGAAAATTGTTAACTATTTACAAATTCTTATGACGGAACCTTCGAGTTGCAAAACGTATAAGAGCGCGAAGTTTCGGCATATTCTGGAATCTTTCTTTTTTGTTCATAGTCCTTTGTCGTTAGATTAGAGACTAACTAGCAGTGTTGGTATAAGAGTACTGTTAATTTGTTTTTTCTATTACCTTTTAAGCAATCGTACCGTACTTCAATTCGAACAGACTCGTGACCTTTAGGTGAAATAAGTCGGCTAAAAAAATTGGCTTACTATATATTGAATTGAACATGGAATGTAGCTGTTTCTTACTTGTGTTTTTTATTTTATACGGGGAGCCCAAAAGTCATAGATCAAACGAAAGGACGTGATAGGAGGAGAACGGTCATCTCCAGTCAGAAGAACTATACTCGTATATATCCTTATCCTAGTTTGCACAGTTCTTGAGTTATCGCCATTTTGAAAGCAAATGTGATAAATGGCTACTTTGAGACTGTGACCTTCATTCTGAAAATGTTTTTACAGGGTACATTTCCAAATAATATATCGTGGGAATCGGTAAAAAATACTACAGCATATACAACACGGCCTGCACAAAAATAATAGTGGCAGATAAAGCATACACAGCCATATAAAGCTTCTCGGTATTATTACCTTTCAAAATATCTTTTAGATAATCAAATATCCCTAATGTTTTTGTGACATTTTGATAACTTTCATTGTCAGCCTCGTCTTCGTGCTCATCCGGTTTCGATGGATGGCCGAGTTCTGCCAAAGAGCTGGTTGGAATTCAGATCACCGAGGTCTTGATCTGGCACGAACACATCTCTACAATAGCGGCAGGGGCTGGGAAAAAGCTAGGCTATTTGCTTAAGGCTAAGTATGACATGCTCACTCTTTACAAGGCCCACATAAGACCTAGCCTCGACTACATTATTTATGTTCTATGCTGCCCAGAGGAGGGCTGTTCGACTTATCGATAACTCTTCTCGGGGGTCTTTCACACGGCTCGCTTCTACGTTACACCAACGGGCTTTGCTCCTCAGAGCTCTCTTCCATGATGCCGCCGCGCGATGTGCCTGCCAGATAGACCCACCTGACTTCTGCCTCCCATCCTAACTGTGTATAAGAGGAGGAATTTCCCAGTTCTACTAAACTTAGGCAGTTCAAAAATCGGTAAGTAACATTTATTTGGGATCACTGTAGCAGCCGCGGCGTCCTGGCATTCAAGCTTTTGCCTGCGAGGGAGCTTTGGTGTAAAAGAAAAGATTTAAAAAATCATTAACCTCGCGTGCTAGTGTGCAGAAACCCAATCTCAATGGAACCACGTTGATTTGCGGTTAGCTTGCCGAATGCATATCGTCTAAGATCCCATCTAACAGTTCTGCACGAGTGTTACGTATCTTGAAAAGTGACATTATTTCTTTTTTTTATAGGTTTTCTGTGACATTACGTAGGTTTTTTCACAAGATGTCAACTTAGCACTAGATGTTGTACACTTGTTTTGAACTCGTTTTGTAGCTGTACCTATTTCCTAAACATCATGATGCTTCAGCTAGCAACATTTGTTGCAATGTAAGCGGTAAGTTGTATAGCTGGAAGGAAACGGTAGTGTGTAGGTGCATAGTGAAGATTTGTGTGCTAATAATCTGTGTTGATGATAACTCTATTGGTTTATTGTCTCAAATACAATTACTTGAGATGTATCAAAGCTAGAACTTAATTGCGCGTCCAATTTTTGTTATCCATTCTCAATATTACATATGCAAGTTATATTCACTAAACAATGTCGAATCACAAGTCATATACGAGTACATGCTAACAGTAATTACACATAACGCGGGCGCGTTTCTTTTACACCTTCTCAGAGATAAACACTACAGGCTACTCGGCTTTCTGCAACCAACTATGCATGTTGGGGAACAGACTTGTTGATTCATCCCTCCATAGATGGACGCTTTTTATGACACTCACAGAGATCATAGCGAGCAAACGTGAAATGAACTATTTGCACACAAAAAACTACCTAGTCTGCAAGATGACATTTTGTCGTTATTTAGGTTTTTTAGATTTTTTACATAGTAGCACTGCTGGTAGATTGTTTCGGACAAGATTAATATGAATCGCCCTACACAATCTGCCTCTTAATAGAAATGCACCAAAAAATTACTATTCATTAGTGTGGCAAATTGGTGTAGGCAGCAATCGTGCCTCATAATTCATGGTTTTCTAGAGCCCTGTGTTATTATTTGTGAATGTTATAAATGCTTGCTCTTCGAAAGCTGTCTTCGTCGACCCACAATATATTTTAAAAAACTGCATTTCTGGATTGTTGGAGCATCCTTCTCCAAAACTGCCTCTGGATAGTCTTCTGGAAGAAGCGCCCTAATCGTCGAATATGGGACGTGTACAACGGTTGTATACCTGAAATCGGATTCATTATTGACCTATGCCAACGATCTATACAATACGGCGCACCCTCCTAGAATGCCCATATTCAATTAACTGTCATTAGCATCTATGTCGCTTCTCAGCCTTCTTACTATTCCTAATCTCCTAGACCTTTCTCTGTACCATACTGTGGAAAATTTATACCACTGGTATGTTGCCTTCGATACTCTTTAGCAGAACATCGATTATTTCCATTGTACAACCCATTAACGAAGCTCACTTCTGTATGTTATTGTAACGAAATGACATCTTGGATCGAAATTGCAATAATGTAATTACACAACCCTTTTGTAGAACAGACGTTAGTGTATTTTACTATAAATGTTTCATTATCCTATACAAAAGGCTGTTTTCGGGTTAAGTAATACGGCACAGTTATTTCACCAAAATAATGTCAAGATCGCCAACCAACGATTAGACGTGGGGTTTGTTTAAATTTGAGGATCTATTGTTCCTCAATCGTTTCATGACTCGATTTTGAATGTAGAAGATTGGCAATGTAAGATAATATCTTAAAATTTTCAAGATTGAGGGTACCTGCAGCATTTCGTCGAAACTAGTAAGGATATTTGGGTATTTTGAGACACTATAATACCCGGAATCATTTGGGAACACATCCTCTAAAGCTGGTTGAGAAATAGCAAAATATAACATAACACTCTTAAAACGGCGATAACTCAAAAACCGTGCAAAGTCGTATAAAGACGTACATGCATAGATTTTCTGATAACAAATGACCCTTACCTATCATCCCCTTCCGATTGGACCATGACACTTGGGACACATGTATACCGATATTGAAATTCTTGGTCCATATTTAAAACTAGTTGTGTACCAAAGTGGAAGATTGTGTTATAACTCCTGTGTTTTGGTACTGTACTCTATTCACTTGAGAGTGAATACGGCTCTAAAGTAATTTCAATTTTCATTTCAGGGAAAAGTTTCACTCTAACAATAATGGTATCAACGAGTCCACCTCAAGTAGCAACGTATAATAAAGCCATCAAGGTGACAGTGGATGGACCTAGGGAGCCAAGGTCAAAAACAAGTGAGTAAGATCATTTTTTCTATTAATTATTATTCTTTAACTTATTAAGTAGGGTGATTTGCATTTCAACGGTTTGCTTAGTATACAACCAAGTTACTGAGTTTTCACTTAGATATTTCCTCGTTTTGCAGGTTTAAGTCTGTTTTAGTCTGTTCTGAATACATGATGAGGTGCGTGATGAAATTATTAATATTTATAGCCAGTCCGAAACTATGCACTGTAGTCAAGTAGTTACTAAAAAGGATTGATTGTACCGACTTGTTGCTTCTAAATTTTTATACATTCCTCCAAACTGAATAAATATAGGGAAAATTGAAAAAGCGACCTCAAAATGACCACCTGCACAAAGACGTCTGAAGGCAGCTCATATCTCTCCAAGTGAGGATCGAGATTTTAGAGTCCGAGAAATCCGTTAGATACAATAAAAAAACTAATAATATCAACAGAGTAGAAAAAGAATTTACAACACCATGGAGCGGCATACCACGAGAACAGAAAGTATTTTAATAATCTTCTGCTGAATTCATATTGAATGAAATATTTCCAAACTGACATGTATAACCAACACGTTTTTTAAGTATTCCTGGCTTCTACCAATTCATTAAAAATCTACTCTTCCTATAGATAATGTCGATCGCTATTTATCTCTTTTAATGTGTAATGTCCGAAAAACATTGTCACGTGCCAAAATCAGGTAACCTTTTTTTTTCTATTTATCACTTATCAGTAATTTGAATTTCTTCTCATTGATAATACAGTGCCCATTCCTAGGCCAAACCCCTTTTCAATAATTTTCTTTTTGCAAATATAATAGTTTATTGATTGTGTAATTTCAATCGTATTATATATTTCTTTCTCAGCGATTCAGTATGGTGTTGACGATTAGCAAAAAACTGCAGTTTTTCTCCGTTAGTTGGCTTCCTATAAAACATATCTTCTTCAAGGCCACTCAAGATTCCTTCCTCTAGCTCTAGAACGTTACGTATTCTATGATTCGCTTTTCAGCTTCCGTTGAGGTCGTGGTGAAGGGGTCTTTTTGTCGTTTTCCAGACTCTGGGATATTAGACCCCAAGCACCCATTCATGGACTAGCACCCTTTTCTTTTTGTTGCGTAACTTAAGTTTAGTTATTTTGGGTGCTACGTCTTCCATTCTTTTATGGGATTTTGACCCTCAGCGGTAAGTTCTTTTTTTATATACCTTCGGACCGCGTGCCTTAATGCGTGTCCTGATGACGTCCATTCAATATCTGCTTTCTTTTTTTCAATAGAAACAGAAGAAAATCCTCGTCTTTTCTCCCCAGTTAGTTGCATCGTTGCAATTTTACCAATTGGAAGCCATGCCCTTGAAAAAACCCTGATGTGAACAGGTAAAATATCATTCTAATTAACAATTTCATACATCTTTATACATTTATTATTGCTTATTGAAATTCTTAGAGACTTCTTGATTTTATTAGACATTCTACGTATTCAAATATGGGGGCAATACCTACATGGCACCTTCTATTACATTGATCATAATTTTGATTTTTGAGCTGTCATAACTTTTTAAAACAAGGGTATATTAGTTTAGTACATTTTTATCTTTTTTTCCTATGCTTTACTTTTCTTATACGAAAAAATGTACATGGTTTTGCTTCAAGTGCGATTGTTTTCAATGAGTAGTTTTGTCTCAGACAGAGAGTAGAGTAGATTTTTAAACAGTCTTTCTCTGTCTAGGTTTTTTTTCTTGTTACCATCATAATTTTTGGGACCGAGGCAAGCAGCCCAGTGACGTGCCTACTACTGGCTTACTTTTTTTTGTTCTTTTTGAACTGGGATACACCTCGGCTGCGCCTAGCCGTAACTGAGAGAAGTTCTCCGCCCAGATAAGTGTACTTTAGGCGGGAAAAATATATACTAAGTGACATATAAATCCGGACACCCAGTCTAAATGGTCTTATTTTAATAAAATTTTGTATAAGTACTTAATGAAGCATAATAAGTAAATGATAAAAATTTCAAAATAATTGCACTGCTTTAAATCCCTTTGACCTTTAATATTGTGTGGATGCACCCTGATGTGCTACGCATTCTCCAACGCGCCTAGGCATGCTTCTGATCAGGTGGTCAATGTCCTCCTGTGGTATCTCAGTCCAGGCAACCACCAACTAGTCTCGAAGTGCTTCTAGAGTCTGAGGAGGACGTTGCAAATCTCCTACCCATCATATCCCACACGTGCTCAATTGGGGATAAGTCGGGATATCTTGGTGGCCATGGTAACAATGTGACATCATTATGTTGAAAGAAGTCTATTGTGACTCTTGCAACATGTGGTCGGGCATTATCTTGTTGGAATGTTGGATCTGCCTGGGTGTCAAGATAGGGTAAAAGATGGGGTTCTAGAACTTCGTGGATATAACGCTGCGCGTTCATGTTACCTCTGATGAAGATTAAAGGTGACCTGGAACCATAAGCTATAGCACCCCAAACCATAACTCCAACAGTCTTTCAACAAAAGACTGTGGATTCCTCCTTTCACCACGTCGCCTTCTAACCCTGGCACGACCATCGTGCATGCCTAAACAAAATCGAGACTCGTCACTAAAGACAATACTGTTCCATTCCTGATCCCAGAGTGACCGTTGTCTGCACCACTCAAGGCGATTACTTCGGTGTTCTCGAGTTAAAGGGAGGACCCAGTGTGGCCGGTATGAAAACAAGCCAAAACTTCTCATTCGTCGGTAAACACTTCGCATGCCAATAGGTCTTCCGTGTTCTGCAAACCATTCATTTGCAATGGACCTGGTAGTGGAGAAACGGTCCCTTATGGCCAATAATCTTAGGCGGCGATCTTCACGGTCTGTTGTTCTACGGCGGCGTCCAGTGCCCCTTGCTCTTTGCGTACGGCCTTCTCGAAGCCATGCCTGACAACACCTAATCACAGTGTCTACACTTCTTTGCACTCTAACTGCAATTGCCCGAAAAGAAAGTCCAGGTTCCCGAAGTCCCACTATACGGCCCCTATCAAACTCACTAAGTTGACGAAATCGTACAGGTCTCCGTACTCTAGGCATCGCAACCGATCGTAAAGGATGTCAAGAACCAAAATCCGCCAACGTTGATTCTTTACTGCGGCTGAAATATTCATTTCTGGAGCGTTAGTGAATTAAAAAAAAGCAGTATAAAAACCGGAATGTCCAACTGATAAGGCTGAAAATTTTTTCACTTGTTATTTACAGTAAGATAAATACATTCACCAACTTTTATTAAAATAAAACCATTTAAACTGGGTGTTCGGATTTATATGTCACTTAGTATATACATATGTAAAGCATATACCATGGTAAACGCCAACTAATTTTATTTTTCGACAGTTTTTTTTTGGTAATATCCTTTCTTGCACTCCAGAGGTGGAGCACATGTGCGTGTTGTTCTTTTTAATCAATATATTGTGATCCATTTGATATCTTGTTTATTTGGCTCTCTCTCTCTCTGTACTGTTACTTAAATTTCGTCGTCTCTGTTAGATTTCCCTTTAGTGTGGTGGTCAAGCAAAACAAGTTCCGACTAACATCTCGGGGAGTTGTGGCTTAATCCGTCCTAAGTCACTGGCGCTCTTAACCCGCCCCTACTCTCCGCTTTATTGAGCTAGGGCCTAAATTTGCACGCCTCTAGACAACTGTTTTGCTTGGACCAACCGTTAGATAGCATTTATCATTCTGTTTTATTAATTAGCCAAAAAAAGGCGTGGCAACATCCAATAGCCCAATGATTAACAATTTTCGACATCATAAATCATATGTCAAATTAAAGCTTAGGAAAAGGTGAACATAGAAGTGTTAAAATACACAAAGTATTAACTGTTTTGAGAAATAGTACATTTTGTATTTTGCATTTACAGATTACCCCTGTGTTCAATAATCTAACGTGGTGAGCAATTATTCCACCAAACTGACAAAAAATGTGTAAATTCATCTTTGTGAATCAAGGTGAATAAACTGCTCGAAAATTAATCAGAAGCCTCATCGCTCTATCAACCATTACATCACACATTTGATAGCGATGGAATGGTAACCATTATGGTAGATTGGCAAATTTGACAGAAACACAATCCAAAATGATCTGTTTTGCGTTCTACTGGAGCGATATATCCAGCTATCATGGGGATACTATAAATGTGTATTTTGTAGGCGATGCTGCCTTGTCCCAATTTGCGGAACAGGTATATAACGAAAACTTTCCGGAGGCAAAAACGAAATTCTTTCTGTAGAAGATAAAATAAATATTATATTAATATTTAACAAGACTTTACTTGATTACGTTTATTTCTAAGATCTGAATGTGATAGCTAGCAAACACAAACTAGCAAGATTGGCTCTTTTTATACAGCTCAGCAGAAACACCAAAATCACAAGCTAAAATTCCAAAATATATCTCTTATAGGTTCGGTATATATCACGGAAATGTATCATAAACCTAAGCCTAATGCTTGTGATGTCACCACAATCAACAAGTTGAATTTTGGAATACACGGTATATGTAATGGGGAGTAATCTGGAAAGCTAGAGGTAGGTGGCGATATTGAGGCTGCAGATCACGTCTAAGGCTATTTTTTTTTTTTTTTTGGCTTTAGGACCTAATCCATGCAGCCAGAAACTAGGTTGTTATATTTGAAATTTCTAATTTATGGACAAGCACACGACGTCACAACATCCATGGCCAAGGCGAGATTCGAACTCGCGGCCCGGCCGACCGGCTGATCAGTAGCACGACACTCTGACCCACGCGGCCAACCGAGGTCCCCGTCTAAGGCTATAAACAGCCAAAGATGTCAACTGCAATCAAGCGGAATCGCACAGCAACCCTCTGTTGCGTGATTCAGTAGACTACACAGTCGAGCAAGTTCGCAAACATTCCGGGCCGCGCCTCGCACTGTGATCAAAATTAATTTGTAAATTCAGACCAGCCAAAATTATTTCAATATACAAAACCGATCAAAATTATTTTTTGGAGATACAAAATAATTCGAGTAGTCAAAGCAATAATTCTTGAGCTATTTCAAATGATTTACTTCTTTTCTTTGCTCATTTCTTCCTTCCTTCCTTTCATTCTTTCCCTTTTGCCCTTAAAAATGCAGCCAGACCTCATAGACTAACAGACCGACGAGACTTTTAACTAAGAGCAAAGGTAAACCGGAACCGCTCTGACGAATAATGACGAATAGATGAGTAGTAGATGTCAATTGTGATCAGATGTTCACGTCAATAGACGTCAAAATGTGATGATGTGAAACATAGGGTTACGTCTAATTCCCTTCTACTTTTGAAAGTTTGATCTCCACACAAGTGCGAGCAAGATTGGACATCACTGCCAAGAACCTTGATAGTATGAACTTCATTTTGCAAAGATTGCTGCTCAAAAGATCAGTGATTTACAGGCTGTTAAAGTCAAGTGTCTTTTTGGGCAAGATATCCAGTAGTACCTGGTAACTTCATTTTTTTAAATATTTATTAATTTGGGTAAATCTTATATAATAACGGAGTAACCAGTCGATTTCGATTTAAAAAGTGTATAGGGCATTATTTTTTACTAAAAATGCAACTTTATCCAGCGTCTCAGTTTTATCGCTTGCGACTTCCAAGACTACTTTTTTGAACAACAGTACTGTGAGTGTGATAAAGGCGAAACTTAGCGACTATCTACTTGAAGAACTGATTCAAGTTAGCGATATAAATTAATTTCATGTAATTCAAATGGTCGATGATGCTCGTTTATTTAACAAATACCTCCCAAGAGGGGATTTCCCATATAAATCAACCCAGAACAAGCGTACACATAAATCATTGTATAAAGTTTCGAAACTTCTGCAGGCGGCAACTCCTCTGGAGACGTTAAAAGACCGCAAAACTCCTCCCGCCAACTTCCGCGAAACTCCTCATTCCAGCAATAGCTCAAAACTTCCAGCGGATATTAGCTCACTTAACCTTAAAAGGATACTCTAATCTCCGTCATCGCACACCGGAAGGCTTTCTCAGTCTGGACGAATATGACCCTGAGTTAGAGAGGCTTTCATAAGATGCAATGGTTCCTCTTAAAGCAGTATATCTTGTATCAACTCTTATAGTGTGCAACATTAGCTCCTTCAATTTTCAATCCAGCAAACTGCAAATATGCTTAGTCTTGAATGGAGCTCCGTGATACATTAAAAAAATTTCTTTTTGATGATACGTTTTGATCAGGGTTGAATCAACTCTGAAATGAGTCACAAGAGGCATGACAGTCTCATCTTCGTTTGGACTGTCTCACTTCACTCGCAAAATGATGGCAACTTACTCAAAAGTAAAATTACGTATTCTGAAATGACAACCATCACACTTCTACTTTTTAAGCCAGAATACGCTCCCTAGTTGCTATTTTCGAGAGCGGACTATAATTTTCAGCAACTTTTCCTGGACACGTTTTTTTTTCATGAAATTTGTTTACATTTGTTAAATGGTTGCTAAGAATACTTTGTTGGCGTTTTCTATTAATGGCTCACTTGGGGCACACCCCTGACTATTTTAAAGTAGTAGTGTAGGCTATAAGCAAATTGGTTATCTGTATTATATGGAGTAAATCATTGAATTGAATTACCAAAAGATTTCTGGGGACTACTTTAAAACTCCGGCGTTCCTCTGAGTAGCCTTGGTAGTAGAAAAACTTTTCTTTCGCTACGATTGTGCTGATTCCCACCTTCATTATTTAACACGCGTGTCATGCAGAATAGAATCCATCTGTTCAGACTGAGACTTGTTACTCCCGCTTTGCAAGTGAGGTGAGACAGTCCCAACAGAGATGAGGTTGTCAAATCATCCAATCACTGGCTCACCTCCGAATTCAAGGAGAACAGCTGAGCTAACCGTGGTCAGAATATCAAGACTGAATATCTGAAGTGGGTGAATTTTGCACGAAAAAAGGTAAGCTTAACTTAGATGCTGTAAGTGAGGACTAATCTCACTTAGCTGAGGTTGATTAAAATGAGTTTCGGTAAAAAATGCATCTGAAATGGAGTGAGCTTATATGATTTTTTTTGTAAGATGCTAACATAGGGAAACATGCATAGAGTATTGGTGAGTGGTAAAACTGTGTATCTGGTGGTCGTAGCTGTAGTATCACATCTTGGATTTATGATAACGTTCAATTGTTAGTGAGCAAAGCAAAGCACTGAATGACATACTATTTAATTCAGCTGCTTATTTTCTTCTGGACGAATTGACAATGATAATTTGCTGGAAATCCTGTCAAATTCCTCAAGCTGCTGAAACTAATGTAACTAATGATTTAGTTTAGCGGTGGGGAGGCAAAGCCTTGACACTTACCCACCTTTAAACCTTTTTGCCGATCATCTAGTATCAACACTGTACACAAGCCGTCTACTAGTATCTGATTATTGAATAAACCAGCTACAGCGATGCTATATACCAATGTTGATCTTGCACTGATCTGGTGCGCTATGAAGACGACACACCACACATCATCCATGGCTCAAAATTAACTTCCGAGGTGGGATCCAAACCCGTTAGCCTTCGTCGATCGATTAGTAGCTCATTGTGCTAACCTCTCATCTACCCAGCCCCCAAAACCAATAATACTTAAGCCTAGTTTACACATGTAG